CCTGTCACGCCGCCGGCCGCCCGGACAGGCCGGCCTTTGATGCGTCTGGAGCGGGCTGGCCGGAGCCGGCCCCGCCCGCGTTCTTATGCAGTTCGGCCGGACACTGTGTCAACATAATGCGGTGTTTTTGCTCCCCGCCTCCGGATATTGGCCTCGGGCGGCAGCAGCATGTCACTGAAATGACCCTGCAAGAACGGCAATTGGAGCGGCCGGCAGCGCTATTAATGTTTTTGTGCGCCGCTCAGCTCTGCAGAAATCGGCCGAAATTTGGCCGTATTTGTCAAAAGATTGATAGGTACATACTCCTTTATCAGTGTCACGATGCTGTGATGTTTCCACTCGTTCTTTTTTTAGGCAGGTGGGGGGGGGGAGGGGTGTAGCTTAATAAATGACCCGGTATGATCTCAGCAGTCAGCGCTAGTTCACTGTTGTTGGACGTGTACACGACGCCTCATTACCCACAGGTTAATTAATTAATCCTTCATACACCCGGGGACCGACACTATGAGGATTGGCCATCATGCGGGTCTGAGTCAGGTGGAATGCGACTCCCTGGGCGGCTTCCCTGTGCTGCGGGTGCTGAAACAGGCTCGAGGATGCAGACGCACCTTTCAGCCTATAGCCGGGGAGAGACACCGCAGTGCACACCAACAGAGTTGGCCCCCACTCGGCTACCTCTCCCCGCCCTTGCTGGTCTCAGCAGTCAGCACATGGGTCCCACACTAGGCCAGAAGCTCTTTGATTGAGCTTGGTGGCGGAATTATGGTGGCGGCGTTGGAGGGCCTTTCTGCGCAGAGGAAGAGCGGCTCCTAGCGCGCGGCGGTGCTGGTATGGACCTGCGCTCGGCGGCAGCTCAGTCCGCCAGCCCACCTGTCGGAGCGGGCGTGGGCACTGCGGCGTTGTTGTTGTACTCTGCTTTCCAAAGTCACTGCTTACTGCCCTATGTGATATGCCTTTTGTAGATAGCCATGTTGTGATGTTCACGCCTCTTACCTCTTACCTTTGACGCGTTGACCTATCGTCTTACATGGAATAACGTGTTACGTTGGGGTCTAGGCAATGTTTATTTGATTTGAGTTTATAAATATTCCTGTAGATTGATTATTATACGTTATTGGGGCAATTTATCCCTCAAATATATGAAATTTCGTCCAGTCTGACAGCGCTGGCTGTTATACATTCCCTCTATCGCGCACAATGTATCATAGTTATGCACGCAAGACTCGGCGCCAGCAATTTAGAGCGGCTTGTCACTGGTATTCCCGGAAGTAATTTATCGTGCGGCCGTGTCGTGTGCCCTGTCAGTTATTGCATCGGGCTCCGGGCAATGCTTCATCGGGACGACATTGATGTGGAGCAGTAAATCGGCGGCTGATCTGCCATACGCCGACCCCGGCCACCGGGCGCAATTCGTTTCAGTTCGGCCGCAGTTCCGTCCGCTGCTGTATTCCGCTAGATTTGCGGCCACCTGCGTTTTACCTCGCCGATGCGGTCCGTCATTTCGGGCGAAATATGGATGATTCAAAAGGCCGTCTGCATTCAAATTTGACGCGGCCGCCGGGACGTGAGGGACCAGCAGCGTTGCAGATTCCCATTCACTTCAACTTTTGTGCCAGATGGGGCCCAATTTTGTCGGCGCTCTGTGGTTGCCGGGCGGAATGGGATGTGGAACTGCGGGAAGGGTGGTGGGAGGGCGTCACTGTGCGGCCTGTCGCCGTGCCCTGTCATCGAGACCTGGTTCTGCTGCTTCCCGCGGGCTGTCCTCCGTCCGGGGGCCTATAGCCTCTGTATAGGCGGACATTTGTGGCAGGGGCGGATCCAAGGGGGGGGGGGGGTCACATGGGTCATGGCCCCCCCCCTTGAGGCCCGGGGGCCCAAAGACCTTCCAGGGGCACCACCGGCCTATCAGGGGTATCACAGTCCTGACAGGGGCACCACAGGACCGCCAGGGGCACCACAGGCCTAGCAGGGACACCACGGGCCTGGTGCCCCTGGGCCCTGACAGGACTGTAACGCCCCTGACAAGCCTGAAGTGTCCCCGGCAGGCACGTGGTGCCCCTGACAGGCCTGAGGCGCCCCTGCAAGGCCGGTGGTGCCCCTGGCAGGCCTGTGGTGTCCATGGCAGGCCTGTGGTGCCCTTGCTAGGCCTCTGGTGCCCCTGACAGGCTTGTAATGCCCCTGGAAGGACTGTGGTGCCCCTGGGCCCTGACAAGCCTGAGGTGCCCCTGACAGGCCAGAGGTGCCCCTGACAGGCCAGAGGTGCCCTTGCTAGGCCTGTGGTGCCCCTGGCAGGCCTCTGGTGCCCCTGACAGGCTTGCGGTGCCCTTGGAAGGACTGTGGTGTCCCTGGGCCCTGACAAGCCTGAGGTGCCCCTGACAGGCCCGTGGTGCCCTTGTTAGGCCTGTGGTGCCCCTGGCAGGCCTCTGGTGCCCTTGCTAGGCCGCTGGTGCCCCTGGCAGGCCTCTGGTGCCCTTGCTAGGCCGCTGGTGCCCCTGGCAGGCCTCTGGTGCCCCTGCGCCCGGAGAGGACTGGTGCCCCTGAAAAGTCTGAAGTGCCCCTCGGCAGGCCCGTCGTGCCCCTGGCAGGCCCAAGGTGCCCCTGCGAGGCCGGTGGTGCCCCTGGCAGGCCTCTGGTGCCCCTGGCAGGTCTGTGGTGCCCCTGGCAGGTCTGTGGCGCCCCTGGCAGACCTGTGTTGACTGGTGCCCCTGCTAGGTCGCTGGTGCCCCTCACAGACCTGTGGTGCCCCTGGGCCTTGACAAGCCTGAGATGCCTGGCTATGACAGGCTCGTGGTGCCCCTGATAGACCAGTGGTGCCCTTGCTGGGCCTGTAGTGCCCCTGGCAGGCCTCTGGTGCCCCTGCTACCCCTGCGCCCTGAGAGGACTATGGTGCCCCTGAAAAGCCTGAAGTGCCTCTCGACAGGCCCGTGGTGCCCCTGGGCCCTGACAGGCCCAAGTTACCCCTGCGAGGTCGGTGGTGCTCCTGGCAGGCCTCTGGTGCCCCTGGCAGGTCTGTGGTGCCCCTGGCAGGCCTGTGTTGACTGGTGCCCCTGCTAGGCCGCTGGTGCCCCTCACAGGCCTGCGGTGCCCCTGGAAGGACTGGTGCCCCTGCCCCTAGGGGTGCTCATGGGCCCAACAGGCCCGTTGTGCCCCTGACAGGCCTGTCGTGTATACTTGCTAGACCTGTGGTGCCCCTGCTTCCTGGCAGGCCTGTGGTGCCCCTGGCGGGCCTGTGGCGCCCCTACAAGGCCGTAGGTGCCCCTGACAGGTTTGTGGTGTCCCTGGAAGGACTTTGGTGCCCCTGACAAGCCTGAGGTGTCAAGGACAGACCCTTTAGACGCCAGGGTCAAGTTCGTCGGACTGACAACGATTTGCTTACCTGATAATGTTCCTGGTAAGTACTCATTACTCAGCGTCCACAACATATATACACATAGCACATTCATATATACTTGCTTACAATTGGTAAATGTGGTTGTGGCTAAGAGGTAAGATAGTGACTAAAAATAAAAAATAAAAATAAAAAACTGAAAATGGGGGCACCACCAAAATGAAGTGGACGAAATCCGTTGAGTTTTTAATTTTGGGTATAGGTAGGGGCACCACTTCGATTCATGACCCTCCCCTTGGAGTTTTCCTGGATCCGCCCCTGATTTGTGGACACAGGTAGACATTGGACGGTGTTTGGTGGTCACCAAGCACCGTCCAACTTGGTCAGTGCTGGTGCTGCCGTTGGCAGAGGGTCGGGGCATCCAGGGATGGTGTTCGAGGACTCTCCCCGCCGCCTAAGGGGAACTGTGTCGCCACTGACGGATAGCTGAAGACGGCAAACCTGCAGCGGGTGGATTACCAGACACTTGCCGCGCCGCCTCCCGAGAGTTTTACACTGTTTTATATGCGTATTGTTATCGTTTCATCTTTGTCCGCAGTTGCACTTAATCCACTTTATAATACTCTTCGCGAGCCTGTAGTGTTTTCTTTTGCTGTTCAAAGGAGAACGAATCATTGTTTCTGAATGTAAATGTTGACGGTAATGCTGAGCCTCGCTTTGATGTTTACCCAAGAATACAAATTGCTTCAAAGCGAAGTGGGAACTTGAAACGAGCTTCGTGTCAGGCGCTTTACTTTAAACACTCAGGACATACACCGTCCGCAGAATGATGTCCATTTGTCTTAGTAGCATTGTGTGCCCTTCCAAGTGGAACGTCAGAGTAATCAGCGGAATGAAGCATGTGCATTAAATGATGAAATGTTTTCATACCTATTCATTTGTTAAGTCCGCTTGCTTTCTCTACTATAGTCCTGTTCGAATACTGCGCCTGTTTTCGGCCATTTTGAACCTTTTACACGTTATCGTCCCTGTCCTTGGCCGCAGGTAACGGGGGCTGTGTGAGCCCACTGGTAACTCCCCTGACTGCGGACTCTGTGAACCCAGTGGTAATGCCTCTGTCCTCTCCGGACAGTGTGTGCCGACTGGTAACGGCAAAGTCCTGACAGTGTTGACCCCCTTGTAACGCCCCTCTCCTCTACCGCAGGTGACCAGCTGAAGCGGGTGGTGTGACCCCCTTGTAACACCCCTCGGCCCTCTCCTCTACCGCAGGTGACCAGCTGAAGCGGGTGGTGTGACCCCCTTATAACACCACTCTCCTCTACCGCAGGTGACCGGCTGGAGCGGGTGGTGTGACCCCCTTGTAACACCCCTCTCCTCTACCGCAGGTGACCGGCTGGAGTGGGTGGTGTGACCCCCTTGTAACACCCCTCTCCACTACCACAGGGGACCGGCTGGAGCGGGTGGTTTGACCCCCTTATAACTCCCCCTCCTCTACCGCAGGTGACCGGCTGGAGCGGGTGGTGTGACCCCCTTATAACACCCCTCTCCTCTACCGCAGGTGACCGGCTGGAGCGGGTGGTGTGACCCCCGTGTAACACCCCTCTCCTCTACCGCAGGTGACCGGCTGGAGCGGGTGGTGTGACTTTTATAACACCCCTCTCCTCTACCGCAGGTGACCGGCTGGAGCGGGTGAACGGGGCGCCGGTGACCGTCGACAGTCTGCAGACGGTGCTAGCCGCCCTGCCGAGACCCGGAAAGGTAGGTAGCAGCACCCTTCCCGTGTCACTCAGATCGACTATCGCCCCTCGGAGAGTCACCGCCGGGGAGAGGGGTGACATCGCCCGCCCCGGCACCGCCTCCGGCGACGCCCGGGGCGATTTATGGTGGCCGCCGGCGAGCTCGTATGGACGGCCGAGGCGTGGTAAAAGCGGCCTTCTGGCGCCTCTGAGATACGGACTCGCCGGTCATGCCTCATAGTTTGCGCCGTGCTGGCGTGCGCGGCAGACCGGCGCGGGCCGGCGCCGCCCCGAGGCTGTTTTTGTGGGTGATCCTTATGCCGGCTGGCGGCTGTTATGCTCCCGGGACTCGTACGTTGATGTGGTTTGGAAATGGCGCAGCTGTTTTTCCGCGGCACGCTCACTTTACGTGTTTTCGTATGCGTTGGAGTGCTTAGATGGCTTGCCTTGGGGATTCTTTGAAATCTGATTGCATGCTAACACATGATAGTGGTGCCATCCGCGGGGTTGGCTGGTTCAGCGAGACGAACGGCGCCGCTCGGGACTGCAGCGGGTGGCATCGACCGGCCCCACGCTGACCCCGGTGACCTGACTGACCCCCGTGACCCGGGTGACCCCGGCACACCGGGCGCCGCGGCTCGGTGCAGCCTCCCGCCCAGAGTCGTGCGTGCTGACCGAGAGTTGGTGTGTTATGCCGGCCGATCCCATCGCAGCGCGCTGTCCGTCCCGGCGCTGAACCGCCCGGCGTTCATTGCAGCGCGCTGCCCGTCCCGGCGCTAAATTTCCCGGCGCTCATCGCCAGATCAGAGCCCAGTACCCGCCTGCTGGGTCTGGACACGGCTGAGGCCCGGTACCTGCCCGCTGGGGTCGGCACGGTCAGATCCCCGGTACCTGCCCACTGGGGCTTGACAGAGTCAGAACCCGGTACCCAGACATATGCATGGATCCGAGTGATGGATTGATGATTTCAGTGGATCTCGAAGCAAACTGCAGGCTAGGATCTATGATCCCACCGGATCCGTTGTGAAAAATTTAATCTGGATCTATGATCTCATAGGGTCTGACGATATACCAAGAACACGGATCTATGATCTGCGTGGATCCCACCATGCACAACATTTGGAACCAGGTTTCCAAGTGTTTCTATGTCAATAAGTGCCACAAAACTATTGATTATGACGTGCAATCACATACAATCTCTAAAACAGAACGCTTGTGAGTTGCAACGAGTCATTTTCTGGGATTTCTGAGTTGCCAAAAAAGTAAATGAGGATCTATAATCTCACTGGATCTCAGGCAAAAATTAGACTCGGATCTATGATCCCTACGGATCTCTCGATAAATTGAAAAGCTGGATCTACGATCCTGACGAATCCGAGATCAAGATCCGTGGGATCAGATCCCAGATCCGTTTTCTCGGATCCATGCACATGTCTGCCGGTACCCACCCGCTGGGGGTGGGCGCGGCCAGGTCCCCGGTACCCGTCCACTGTAGGGGTCGGCACGCCGCTCGGTGGTGCGGCTCCACACCCCTGCGCTGACCGCCGACCGCTGTGACCTGTTGACCCTGAGCCGGTAACGGCCCGGCTGTCGACGCGCGCCCCGCTGATCGGTGGGGCCCAGACACGCGAGCCTACCTTCGCTGGGCGGGTGGGAAGGCGGCAGACGCCATCTGAGGTGCGGGTGAGAGGTGATGGGATGCAGGTCTGGAGCGCCGTGCAACAAACCGCGATGGATGTTTAGTTTGAATTGAGCTATTTTGTTAAATCCTGACGTTCTGGTGCACCATAGCCTCATGAATTGGAATGGGCGGAGATTGCCTTGATAAATAACGCAAGAAAGTCGTGCCAATAACATAGCTGTGGATGTAGTTTCGCTACTTCTCTGAGCGAGAACTTATACCATGAATCACGATTGGAACTGGGAGTATCGGCCAGCCCAATACAGTTTACCGCCCGTTCGCCGAAGACGTACCCGTTACGGCTCCGTTCAGTGACCGGCAAAGGGCCTTGCCGTGTTCAGTGACCATTGTGCCTTTCGCGGCCCTGTTCAGTGTTCAGGGACCGTAGGGGCCGGTGTAGGGCCCGGCTCCGTTCAATGACCATGGCGTGGTCCTGTTCAGTGACAATGGCACGGCCCCAGTTCAGTGACCATTGGGCCCGGCGCGGCCCGCTCACTGACCATTGGGCCCGGCGCGGCTCGCTCAGTGACCATTGGGCCCGGCGCGGCTCGCTCAGTGACCATTGGGCCCGGCGCGGCTCGCTCAGTGACCATTGGGCCCGGCGCGGCCCGCTCACTGACCATTGGGCGCGGTGCGGCTCGCTCAGTGACCATTGGGCGCGGCGCGGCTCGCTCAGTGACCGTTGCTCTGGCGCTCTGTGGCGCCCGCGGGTCCCGTTTGACCTGGAGGCGGCGGTCCGGCGCGTTATCCACTGCCGTCGTTAGCGCGGCGGCGCCGACCGGCCGGCGGTGATCGGTGCCAGGGGTGCTGCTGGCCGCGCCCGGCGCCGGCCACGTGCTCCCCGGGGCCGGGGCGGCCGCGGGCAATTCAGCGCCGCTCAGAGAGGTCGCACTCCCTGGGGCCGGGGCGGCCGCTGACATTCAGCACAACTCAGGTCGGCGGGCGCCACCTCACCGAGCTAGTGAGCTGCACTGGTGGCGACCGGGACATCTAGCGCGCGGCAACAGCCCAGATGTCGGCGCTGGGGCCGGGCAGGCAGCCGGGCGGGGAAGGTCTCCACTAGTGCACACTGGGGTCGAATGCCGAACTGGCGTGATGGCGGAATCGCGCGTCACTAGAATCGAGCCTCCCTCGCCTCTTAGACTAACCAACTGGCCATCGGGAACTCAGAAATGGCCTCCGATTCACACGAGGATGGTGCTTGTGATTTGTGCCATTGCGTTACAAACCCAGCGTTGGAAATGATTCCGTACGATTTCTGAACATGTAAATGACGAGCTCTGGTTCTATCCCGTATTCTTTGCATCATTTGAAGGAGCAGTTTCGCTCAATATAAATGACTTTTTCTATAGTCTCTTAACTTGGCCACCAAGCTAGCCAAGCTTACTACAGAACAGATTATTTCACGTGGAACGGTCCGATTTCCTTGAGAAAAACGTCCATAGATTGTTAAAGATATGCACATTTTTTAACCTTTCTTGTCCTGTTGTGTCATTGGGGTGTGCACTGTGCAGACCATTAACCAGGTAATGGGTGTTGAACTTATTGCTTAACGCTCAAAAGACACAAATTTTGTATAAGTGACGTTTGTTTTGTCCGCTGAAGAGAGTGGATTCTTGTGACAGTTTTCATCGCTCCACTTTATGGACATTTGGTAAGTATTCAAGCTCTTAGCCAAATTAAGCCTTTAAGCTCTTACCAAGTTTGAAAGCTCGTAACAAGCTCTACTTTTACGATCCTTTCCGTTAGTTTAGTTTTGCTCGGATGTTGTAGCTGTTTGATGCCTGATTATTTACGTTTTAATTCGCATGCTCACTACCGGAGCCGGTTTTCTTACTCCGGTTTTACCGCAGCGACCCGATAAAACACTGGAACTGTCCACAGAACACATGGGTCTTCGATAAGGTTGAAAGGGGCTTAGGCGTTGTTATATTCAGTTCAGTCCCTTATAACTGGGAGGTCGCAATATTTGAACATTGTTAAACGGACTTAAAAATTGAAGCCGAAAGTAATTAAGAAACTGCGTTATCAATTTTATAGGAGTTAGCAGCATAATAGCATTTGCTCATATACAATGTGATAATAAACTTGTACATAAATGTAAAGATAACCAACATCAGTGCTAGTTCTGAGTTCTGACAGCGATCGAAATTTTGTTGATTGCCGATAAGATCGGGTGAGGTTGGATTGGCCGCTGGCCACTAAAGTCAAGCACATGGACCGACATTGCAAATCACTCGCCAGTTCGCGCCCTCGTCTTCACACTGTGGATGATATTCATGATCATGGTTTGTAAAATATGATGGCCTATAGTAGTCCGCTCCTACTCACGCCGTATTCAGGCCAACTTCGGATTTGGGCTCCATCTACCCGGTGGTGAGCTGCAGCGCCAGTACGGTTCGGCCTAGTTAATAGCTCTGCAGTCTGCATGAAAATACTGTTTGCTCAGGCGCTATTTGTTCGCGGGTTTCCGAGCGCGAAGATGTATTCTTAGAATGGGGTGCACGACCGCTCCCGGCCCGGCGGTCCTCGACGAAACGCGCCATCCATTGTCGATGTTACGCACGCTTTGCCGGGCTTTGGTAGCATCGATTTGGGCTCGTTTTAGCAGAGTGTCGCCTCTTTGGGCCCATTGAGCCAGCTGTTTGCCTAATTTATTGAGCTCTTGTTTGGTGTGCTGCGGTCGTTTGCTGAGACGATGGCGGAACGAGACAATGATTTATGAGTGGGATCGTTATGATGCCTTTTATCTCGGCTTGCATGTATTCATTGTTCTTTCTTTGTTCTCTGATGGCCTCTTATTATCATAATCACTGCTATTGGTCATGCTGGTGGTATCATGCTTGGCAATGAGCAGCTTACATGAGCCGCGTCTCCTGTTTTGTTATGGATGGCCTGTGTTACCGTCTTAGAGTTGTATTATAGAGATGTAGTATCCGAATAAGTTTCCGTAGCTATTGAGCACCAACCTCCGCGGCAAGTAAACCTGACGCATCACGACTACATGGCAGCGATTACTGGGACCTTGTCACCCCCAGCTGCTGGCCTTGTGAGGAGGCCTGGCCTTGCCGAGTGATACTTGGAGGCATGTTCTGTCTGGTGTTTTACATTTCTGATCAGTTTGCCGCAGACAGCTATAATTAACTTCAAAGGGCAAAAGCTGCAGCAAAGACGCGTAAACTGAACTGTCGCGGAAACAAAATATCCTAAACATATTGTTATTGAATGCCCGTTTGTCATCTATTTTACCAGCACTATGTATGCTATCAAGGGTCGACGATTTTATTATTATTATTTTTTTTTTTCTAAAGCCGTGCGAAAATTTCTAGATGTGACAGATA